CACATGTCACTTTTCAACGTAACCTACGCTCTCTCTCACCCTCCCGGCTGTCTGCTATGGTTTCATCTTTGCTTCCTTCCCCTGAACAGTTATCATCTCTTGATGCTAACCGTGCTACTGATACTTTCTGCTCCACTTTTACGTCTTGTTTAGACACTGTCTGCCCTTCCAGGCCAGCTCGTACCACCTCTTCTGCCCCTTGGCTATCTGATGTTCTCTGTGAGTATCGTTCTAAACTTAGAGCTGTAGAAAGAGTACGGAGCAAATCACAAAATCCTACTGACCTTAATGTATATCTATCACTCCTCTCTTCATTCTCTGCTAATGCCTCCACTGCTAAAAGGACATACTATCACAACAAAATTAACAATTCGCCTAACTCTCACATGCTCTTTAAAACATTTTCCTCCCTCCTTCGTCATCCTCTTCCCTTCATAAACTCTAACAGCTGACGACTTTGCCACATTCTTCATTAATAAAATTACAAACCTCAGTGCACAATTTGCCACACAACAAACTGTCAAACACTTCTTACCAGCAAACATACACTCGTTTTCATCCTTCTCTCCACTCTCTGAGGCAGAAGTCTTTAAACTCATCCTTTCCAATCATCCTACTACTTGTCCGCTTGATCCTATTCCATCTCATCTCCTTCAAGCCTTTTCTCCTGCCGTTGTACCTGCACTCACTCACATCGTTAACACATCCCTTCACACTGGTGTTTTTCCCTTAACATTTTAAACAGGCTCGTATAACCCCACTTCTTAAGAAACCCCTCTTAACCCAACTCTTTTAGAGGACTACAGACCGGTCTCTCTTCTACCTTTCATTGCAAAAGCACTTGAACGAGTTGTGTTCAACCAAGTCTCAGCCTTTCTCACACAGAACAACCTCCTGGACAGCAACCAATCTGGCTTCAGAAGTCGACATTCGACCAAGACTGCCTTGCTTTCAGTTGTTGAAACCCTAAGAATGGCAAGAGCGGCTTCCAAATCTTCTGTATTTATTTTGCTGGATCTGTCTGCTGCTTTTGATATGGTGAACC